GGAAACTCAATGGAATTCATAACTATCTCAATTTTTCCTTTTTTCTTTTATTGTCTGAATATTCAGGAGCTAAGACCATTCCAATGCCCCCTTTCGCCATGCATAAACTAAACCAAACAATTAAGATAAGCACGAAAATTAAAAGCTTCTACAAATACAGATACACTAATACATCAAAACTCATTGCCCATGGATAAAGAAAAACCGTTTCAACATCAAAAACAACAAAAACTAGAGCAAACATATAATAGCGGATTCTAAATTGTAACCAAGCGTCGCCTATTGGTTCTATACCCGATTCATAACTAGAAAGTTTCTCCGGTCCTTTTCTAATCGGAGCTAAAAATCCCGAAATGAAAAATACCAAAATAGGAATAAGACTTGATATGATTAGAAATGCCAAAAAATATCATATTCATAAAGCAGAAACATAGATGCACTCCTATGAACGTGGAAAATATACCGGATTAGTCAATTCGACTTGAAATTTTTTAAGTCGTTCATAACTGTTTAGTTTAAAGTAAGAATTGCTTTTGGTCGAACCATTTAGTTGGGCGTGTTTCCTTTCAAGATTCATAGATTAGAATCCTATTTTTATTACATATCTTTAGATATCTTTTGATTTTTTTTTAGTTATAGTTAAAACTAACTATTGCTCTTATCCAAATTCTCTTGTTTCATATCAATCTTACCGAGTATTCTCTCTAAAGAAAAGGGATTCTAAATATAATTCTCATTTTTTTTTTTTTTTTTATGGAATATGTCCATTTGTCTCTTTTATTAGTGGTTTATAATAGAACAAGTAGTCAGATGTAAGAGAATGTCTAGGAATTTTCATCTCAAGATTTAGAATATATGGGTCTTATTATATTCCTTTTATTAGAATCCAATCCCGATGGAGGATTTTCTATTCATTGAATATCGAAAGAGAAGACTAGGTCTAAGTAAGGTATACAAAGGAAAGCCTATTTTACGTTTTAGCAAAGATATTCGCTTTTCAAACTTTATATTGTGCACAAATAGCGCGCAATACCGACGTAAATTACTATTAGATTTGATTGGGGTTGGGTTAGGTTGGAGTTTTTAACCAGACTCGTGTCATGATACAAAATTCCATAGAATTGGGTATACCAAACGAAGGGTACTATAATTAACTCGTTGATTTCGGACAGGAAAAGATGAAAATTGCAGATGAATTTTCCTACGAAGAGTACTGAACAAAAGAAAGTTGGTTTGTTTATCCACAACTGGAAAAAGATCGATTGGGTCCATTGAAATGAAATGTGTTTTTGCTTTTAGTTTGATATTCTACTTTAAACGATCCCCTTGAATGGCTTATAGTAATGATTGTCTTTTGATGAAGCAATCAGTCAGTTAAAACAATAACGAGGAAATTCAAATGAAAAATGATACAATTTTTTTTTAATATTCATTTTTATTTTATAGGGCTCTAGGGCTATACGGACTCGAACCGTAGACTTTCTCGGTAAAACAGATCAAACTTATTATTATCAAAATGATCTGAACTTTTTCAAAGACCCAACATGCATTTTTTGTGCATTGGGCTCTTCATTAACTGATATAAATATCAGCTAGTCCGCCATTTTATTTTTACCGAAAAATAAGGAGATGGCTCCATGTGCTCTGAGTCATTATGTGGATTCAGATTCAGGAACACTACCAAAGTTTTCAAGGGGGTTATCTTGACGTAGGTCTGCCTCTGGCCTAGATTAACCTAAGTGAAATGAAGTCTCTATCGCTCTATTTAAAAATCAAATATGAAACTTCGTACACCTTAAAGTTCATAGGACGAAAAGAGATTTTTTGAGGCCCTTATGCTCAGCCTAGCATTAAATAGACTGGGTATTCACCTTATCAATATATCAAATCAATGATGGGGTCTGTTTGGCACCTAACTGGGCACCTAAACGGACCGAACCTTTGTCAGGCTATTGTTCTCTTCTTCCCTCAAAGTTATGGAGTAAG